CAGAGAGACTGTCCACTTTGGCTAAAATACATGGCACAGGGGCATTGCTGGCACTTGGTGGCATAGATCATATTAGAGGGTGTGCGATTATATAAGCCACTGATGTTATGGCTTGTGCGGTTAGGTTCTGTGATTGTCACTAGTATAGATGTGTGGACCGAGTTGGCAATGGGGGGGAGTGTGTCTGAGGTGTGATGTGTGACTGCTGGAAATAATTTGCTCCAGGTGAGGAGGTTGTCTGTAGGTGAGGATTGGCCTGTCTCCCTAGGCCTGTGAAAGTAAGGGATCGTTTTCCAGGATAGGTTTTAGATTGTCAATGATGCACTGGAGGGGTTTAAGTTGGGGGCTGTAGGTGATGACCAATGGTGTTCTGTTATTTTCCTTGTTGGGTCTCTCTTGAAGATGCAGATTTCTGGCTCTGTCAATCTGTTTCTTCATTTCCCCAAGTGGGTATTTAAATTTTAAGAATGCCTTGATCTTTTAAACTGGTTTTCCCCAGCACCGGCTCCTGCCTACCTTCCCCTACCCCCCCAGCTGCCTTCCTGTGTTTATCAGCTCCCACCTCCACAAGGCAGCAGCACAGGGTTGGAGGGGCAGGTGGATCCACTGCTCATGGGGATCCAGTTTTTAAGCCAGCTCCTCATGGGCACTGGCTCCCGCTCCCACTTCCCCCCCCCCCACTTGCTGCCTCTGGGGGATGGGGAGGGAGAGAGTACGTGTAGTCGACAAGATTAACTGATAAGCTCGGGCTCATCAGTTAATTGTGTAGTCATCTACACATTGACATCCCTAATTGTAGGGGGGAAAGGGAGGTGCAAGTTGTTGAAATCCCAGTGGAATTCTTCAAGGGTCTCCTTCCAGTGGGCCCAAATGATGAATGTAGTGTAAGAAGAGGAAGGGCTGTATCATTGGAAGATGATGTTCTACACACCCAGGCTGTGTCTAGATTGGCAAGTTTTTCCGCAAAAGCAAGTGCTTTTGCGGAAAAACTTGCCAGCTATCTACACTGTCCGCTTGAATTTCCGCAATAACACCGACGATCTCATATAAGAAATCAGTGCTTCTTACGGAAACACTATACTGCTCCTGTTTGGGCAAAAGTCCTTTTGTGCAAAAAGTTTTGCGCAAAAGGGCCAGTGTAGACAGCTCAGATTTATTTTGCACAAAAAAGCCCCGATCACGAAAATGGAGATTGGGGCTTTTTTGCGCAAAAGCGCGTCTAGATGAAAAGCGTCCGTGCCAATCTAGATGCGCTTTTGCGCAAATGCTTTTAACAGAAAACTTTTCCGTTAAAAGCATTTGCGGAAAATCATGCCAGTCTAGACGTAGCCCTGATGTTTCCATTCTCCTCAAAGAAGTGACTTTGCAAAGATTGCTTGAGGTGTCTTTACCTGCTCTATTCCCCTTGTCTCCTATATTTTCACCTGAAAGGCTGTAGACCTCAGGCTGCACAGGATATTTAGTTTTACTAATTCTTATATTTCAGTAGTGCTTAGAGATCCCAACCATGATTGGTCCTGTTGTGCTAGGCACAGTACACAGTATGAGACAGTCAGAAAGTAAGACAAAGAGGGTCTGGTCTACTGGTTGGAGAAGTGGAAGTCATGTCTACTGGTCTGTGTGGTGGCTTATGGATTGGCTGGAGCCTAGCTCAGAAATGATTCATGTGGTTTATGATTCATGATGCATGTGGTTTAATCAAGCTCTAGTTGAGGGATGACTCCTCCCCTCACACATGGCTACATCATCACTCCCTCTCTCATAGAAGAGGTCCCTCCCATACCTTCAGGCATACTGGTGGAGGAGGAAACATGCTTATGCATGGTGCTGTGCCTGTTCTTTGGATCAATACAGGGCTCTGGAGCATTCGACCTAGAACTCATACACCAAAAATAAACAGTTTTACAAATTCATCGTATAGCCTGAAGATCCTCACGTTTCTGGTATTGAGAGGCTATATATTGCTCCACTGAAAGAGTGAGTGTGTGTGTTTTCTGCTATTTAGTCTTTACATGCACAATCCCCTTCCAGAGAATTCAGGAACATCTGTAACAATAGTTTGAGCAGGAAGGATCTTGCAGGTGCCAACAGACAAAATAAAACGTCATCACAGCTGCATAGGACACCAGATGCTCTTTAGTTTATCAAAAAGAATTGAAAAATGTCTGACTGCATGCACAGCTGAGGGCTAAGACTACCTGCTGCCTGTGTAAACAGCTGGAGGTTTTAACTTCATTCAAAGATACTGGCACTTTGAGGTCTCCGTGCTTGAAAAGTGGGGATGCAAATAAACTAAAGTCAAAATGAGGCCTGACGATTAATGTCAGTCTAGTTCTTGCAAGCAAAAGAAGGAACTTTGTGACTAAACTGGAGAGTAAGTTTTACTGGCAGGTGCTGCTGTGTGAGGGCTTGTGGGAGGAGAGAAGATCCCATAGTGCTAGTGAACTGATCATATTCTTCAAATGCCTTTTAAAATAGCAGGCAGAATCCTTATCCAATCCTAAGGGAGCTCCCTAAGTAGGAGCTGAGTGAGGCAGTCTGTGAGCCACTAGCGATTATCTTTGAAAAGTCATGTCTCATAGGATTGATTCCAGAGGACTGAAAAAGGGCAAATATAGTGTCCATCTATGAAAAGAGAAATAAGGACAACCTGGGAAATTGCAGACCAGTCTGCTCAACTTCTGTATCCAGAACTATAATGGAACAGTCAGGCTGCGTCTAGACTGACAAGATTTTGCGCAAAATGGCCGCTTTTGCGCAAAATCTTGCCGCCTATCTAGACTGGCCGCGAGTATTTGCGCAAGAACACTGACTTTGTACTGTACAAAATCAGTGGTTCTTGTACAAATACTCCGACGCTCCCACGCAGGGATAAGCCCTGTTGCGCAAGTGTCCTTGTGCAAGAGGGCCAGTGTAGACAGACAAGTTAATTTCTTGCACAAGAAAGCCCGATGGCTAAAATGGCCATTGGAACTTTCTTGCGCAAGAGTGTGTCTACACTGGCACAGATGCTTTTGCTCAAAAGAACATGCCAGTATAGATGCTCTCTTGCACAAATACTTTTAACAGAAAAACTTTTCCGTTAAAAGTATTTGCACAAAATCATGCCAGTCTAGATGCAGCCTCGGTTTGCAAACACTCAAGATGATGATGGTGATAAGTAACAGCCTGGATATATCAAGAACAAATTATGTCAAACTAACCTAGAAGCTTTCTTTGACAGGGTGACAAGTCTTGTGAATGGGAGGGAAGTGGTAGATATGGCATATCTTGACTTTAGTAAGGGTATGTCTACATTGTGGGGTGTTTTCCGGGATACCAGAGTATCCCGGAAAAACTCCGCCATGGCCAGGTAACGCGTTTGCTCTTCCACCAAAAAAAGCAGAAGTGCAAACGTGCTCTTTTGGAAGCCCTGTCTTCCTCATTCCGTGAGGAAGAAGAGATCTTCCGAAAGAGGGGAATTTTCCAAAATTTGGTCCAGTGTAGATGGGCTAAATTTTGGAAAAGCCTCTTCTGAAATAAAATTGGAAAAAGCTGTAGTGTAGACCTAACCTCTGGCTTTTGATACTGTCTTGATCTTGCATGTCCTTTTAAATAAACTACTATAACATGGATGTAAAACTAGTTCCCAGAAAGTAGTTATCAGTGGTTCACAATCTAGCTGGAGCAGTATAATGAGTGAGGTTTCACAGGGATCAGTTCTGGGTCCAGTTCTGTTCAATATCGTCATCAGTGATTTAGATAATGGTTGTTTAATTGGTTAACTGAGTAAATGGGATTTTACATCCCTAGTGGGGACATGTAAAAGTATTTGTTAAATTGGATGCTCGAAATAGAATTAAATACAAATGACCTAATTTGTTAGTGCCAGCATGCCCAGAGACTATAGGGCTGATTCTCAAACTGCAGCACCTGAGCAGCTTCCACTGAAGTCAGTGGCTATAGAGTTAGAGCTGCCACGTAATAAATACACCAGCTAGTTTGTCAAAACCCTGATGTATCAACTTCGGTGTAATTTTTTTCAGTAGGTGAAGCTATCAGTGAGCATTAGGAATTTCGAAGGAACTAGACCTCTTTTATGAGAGGCTCCACACCATGTAGATTTAGGCCCTTATTTAGAATCTCTAAACCTTTGCTCTCTCAGGAGAGGAATCTGCAGTGTGGAGGGTACAGTCACTGCACACGCAAGGGGAATGGGAATAAATGGCAGGGTAAAGTGTAAGGCACTGTTTAGGCGAACAAAGTAGAGTGCCCCACAGTCCTGATTCCCAGGGTATCTATCTTACATGGCTCTCTCCACTCCAAAACCAAGTCTCCTTCAGTGACACTGCTGTTTTAAGTAGTGTAGCATCCCACTGCCTCCTTGATGCTCGAGTCTTTCCTCATTGCAGAGTCTGTTAGCAAGAAAATCTCTGGGAAGGGGGAGGTTGTGTGGAAAGGCTCCAGCAGGGGAGAAGCTTTCACTATCTCATACTGGGTAACACAGTGCAGTGTGGATGCGGCCTGTGTTCCACTGCCACATGTAGCTAGCTACTCATATTACATGCCACTGCAAGTGGAGACAGGGCCTTAGAATGCCCAGAGGGTACCACTTGAGTATGTAACCAGAGTCCTAGATAGGGTTTGTGCAGCAACAGCTTCACTGCTCTTATTACCGAAGCTGGTGTGGCTCAAAGTTAGCTCAAGTAGTCTGCAAGTCCTGGAATCACACCTCCCAATTGCAGTGTAGACATATATACTCTTATACTGTAAGTTCCTGGTGGCAGTCTTTTTGTTATGTGTTTGTACAGTGCCCAACACACAGGGCTCTAGTTTTTGATTGGGCTTCCCATACATTACTGCAATATAAACCATAACAATAATAAACCAAGATAAGACAGCATGTGTGCTTTTGGAATATAATGTAATCAGAATGCCTACTGGCTCTCTGCTCTGGTGAGCAATTTGAGTTTCAGATGTTGAGAGACAGGATTCATCTTCAGTTTTGCTCTTTCTTTCAGGGGGTTCATGAATCTAAAGGAGTGACTGAAGACTATTTGAAACTGGAATCCCTGATACAGAAAGTGGTTTCTCCTTACTTGGGCACATATGGTCTGTATTCCAGTGATGGACCCTTCACACACTCCTCTTGTATTTTGGGTAAGAATAACGGGGGCTTTTATAAGGTCATTGATTTGACATAGTGCAGATGGCTAGCTAAAAACTTCGTAAATACATCATGCCTGTGCCCTAAAATGGGTGACTGTTGATGTCAGATAACAGAGGCGTGTACTTTCCTTCATGGTGCACTGGGGGCATATAAAATTACCGCTAAGCTGCAATTGGACTAAACCTGCTCCAGGTTTTGAAACTCTGAAATAAAATTTGTAATAAAAGAAGGTTGACCTCATGCATAGCACAATCCATAGAACATCAAATTAAATTATCTTAATGGCCCCTTCTGACCTGAAAGTCTATGAATAATTCTACATTTTTCTATTACCTTTCAATGAGAAGAATTGAACTCAGATGTTTTATGGAGTGTGAGGTAGGAGGAGAGAGGATGGGCAGATACAAGAAGTGCATCCAGCAATTACTGAATGTAGCTATTCTGAAGTGGAGAGCTGTGCCCTGTAATCAGGACCCAGCAACCTTATACAACTGTTTAGGACTGAAAATAATCATGAAGAATGATCGAAAGCACTCAGTGTCTTCCATAGACGATCCCAACTGATGGCCGTGGCGGTGTAGTGAAGCCAATACTGAATGCTATTCCATTTGAGTAATTTATGTTGTTGAAAATGTAGGGAACTGGACGGAAAAGTGATAATTGTACCCATAATTTTAAAAACAAGTAATTTTCTACCCAGTTCAGCTATAAACCGTATTTTCTAGACAGTCGATTTAATCCATTTTCCTCATGAAATTGTCAGAATAGTTCCTGATTTTCACACAAAGCTGAATTGAAAGTGGAGTGTGTTGCAACATGCCTATAAAGAAACAGATCAATTTTATGAGTGCCAGTGATAATTGTACCCATAATTTTAAAAACAAGTAATTTTCTACCCAGTTCAGCTATAAACCGTATTTTCTAGACAGTCGATTTAATCCATTTTCCTCATGAAATTGTCAGAATAGTTCCTGATTTTCACACAAAGCTGAATTGAAAGTGGAGTGTGTTGCAACATGCCTATAAAGAAACAGATCAATTTTATGAGTGCCAGTCTAAGCTGGTTATCTTCAGAACTATAGCCACTCCCCAACTACCCAACCACCTCCACTTATGACCATCCGCACTTACGACCAAAGCGGTCGTAAATTCAGATCTGAGTTACGAACGGCAATCCGCATTTACGAACAGCGCGGTCGCCATGTAACTCTATGGGATTTGACTTACGAACACTTCGAGTTACGGACCAAGTGTTGGTCTGTAACTTGTTTGTAACTTGGGGAGCGGCTATATTCTGTATTCATTATTGCTATGACCAGGACATGAAACAGGGTAACTGCTGGTGCTGCTTGGGACACCAAGCCTTTAAGGTGCCAATAGCAAGCCTCAGGAACCGGACTTGGAATCAAACACTGTAGGTGTTTCAGAAGGTTAGGCCTCATTGGCACTAGTTCTGCGGGGTCCCCAAACCCACTCAAGACACATGGCTACGGGTAAGGGTATTTTTTCAGGCCTGACAGGAAAGGGAAAGGTTGCAGCTATTGTACATACCTGACCTTAAAACACTTCATAGTGCGCACTAATCACCTCTCTCCTTGCATGGGCTCCCTCCCAAGCCACTCAAAGCATCCTGAGTGGTAGCTGGATCGGGGCACATAACTCGTAGAACTTTGGAACCTCTGGAAGGATGCTTAATAGTCATTTCATTCTTGTGTGCACACCCATTCCGAAAGGGTCTTAGGTAGTACCAATAATACAAAATTGCTGCCACCTAGTGGTCAGTGTTTGAAAGTGGCTTAACCGAATTCTAACGATTAGCTGAAAAAATCTGGACTACTGTGAAACTAAGCAACAAGGCAATACAAGTAATTTCTAATTAAGTTTTTAAACCAGTATTTTCCAAAGTGATTAATTTTCAAAGAACAGGTGACTGAGGCATAACTGCTGTGCATGGATTTTATATTGTTAAATAGCTTACTTACAATTAGCAGCACCATCTTCTTGGAGCACATTTTTGTTCATTCTGGAGGATGTGGTTTGGTGAAAGGACAAGCTCAATTAAACCAAAAGAGAGTTAGACTCCAACAGATACAGGACAAAAAGCTGGGTCTCAGATCCTCATGGTAAACTTTGATTCCAGGCCTCTCTTCCCATACATGCAGGGAATTTCCAATAACATTAACCTAAGAGCATAATTTCAGTCCTGATTTGTCATTAAATAAAAACACTGTCTCAAATTTTTGCAGTTGTACAATATTTGGCATTCGTTCAAACCCCTAGTTTTTGGATTCATTTGAATGATCGAGAATCTCAGCTTTATTTTTTCAAGTAAGTTTTGAAGAAAAGCTTGAAGATATAGTCCCTAAAGACACAAAAACTAGAAGGTTAAATAAAAAACCCTCAACATTTCTTTTTTAAAAGCTCATTTTTTAATTCACTCGTGTTGTAAGGACCCCTCATTTTTGAATGCTTGGGGAGGTTGGCGGGGGTGCTATAAAAGACAGAGACGTCAGAGATTTTATTTGAGATTTGTGTCTGTTTACAGAGAAGCGCTTCTTCCGACGTTCCAAATCAGGTGACATCCTTGCCAAGAACCCGGTGGTGAGATCGAAAAGCTACAATAACCCACTGCTGACCCCCGTAGCTGAGTACGAAACAGAGGGAATTGCAGCCAATGGAACTGGCATCCGAAGGCACTCCGTTTCTGAAATGACCTCCTGCATGGAGCTACAAGGGTATTCCAATCTCACAACCATCATGGACAATGGCTCTAAAAGCTCGGTGACAACCATGAAGAACTCACTCCCAGGAGACCAGGAAAGACCCAGTGCCAGTTCAGTGCAATGTTCCAGCAAACTCAGTGCAGTTGAGCAACAGCAAGGCCTCTTCCGTTCTATGGACGATCAAAACAGGGCTTTTGAGCTGGCCAGGGACCCTGCCTTGATTCCAGTCCCTTCTTCCAGCCCCGAGAATATAGTGGACCAGATTTTGGAGTCAATTGACTCTGATTCTGAAGGAATATTCATAGATTTTGGCAGAGGTTGTTCAAATTCATCAACATACAACATGGATGTGAGCAGACAAAGCATCGTGTGACTGACAGGAGACAAATCCTTAGTTTTATTGTTATGTACAAGTAACTGGTATGTCTGGCCACACAGCAGGGGAAAGGTACACATACAGGGCCAAAACTTCAGCTGGTGTAAATCATCAGAGCAGTATTTAAAAAATAAATAAATTAAATCAGTGGAGCTATATTGATTTACACTATCTGAAGTTATGGCCCCCCAGTTTTTGTTTTTTTTAAACCATTAGCCTATTTTCTTCCCATTGTTCTGCAGTAAGATCTCTTACTGTCTTTGTAAGATTGTGGATTGTTTGTGGTTTTTTTCTAAATCAGAAAGTGTCTAATAGAAAGCTGTTAGTTCAGCTGGATATGTGCATTTAATGGCATAATCCGTTGTACGCCTGCAGTCAGCTTTTATTTTTAGTTGTCTTGAAAGATCCCCGTAAAGATGCAGATTGCTCTTTAAACAATATGATCTTGGCTGGGGGGGAAGACTTAAAAAAAAAAGATGGTCATAAATTGTAGCAGGATACAATGATTTATAGTGAGTCTTTTATTGGTGTGTTGTGTATGCACTCCTCTCACCTCAATAAGTCAGGGTTATTAAGAAAAACAGTAAAATAAACAATGTGCTACATAATGCGATGCAGTGCCTGGCATCTAATGTTGTGTTTTACAGCCAATCCAGTGTCTAGTTGGGAGAGATGGCCTAAAACTGGCTTTTAGGACTATGTTAATTTGCTTTTAATGTGCCACTTCCAAGAATTTTGTGTAAATTCTTAAAGAATTTTCCAATCTAGCACAATGCAAGTTACTTGTTTCCTGTGTAAATAAAGTTATGGGCTTTCAGTATAAATCTTAATTATTTATCAGTGTTCTTAAAGTATTTTGCAGCAGGTATTGTAACTAGGCAGGGAGATTTAAAGGGTTATATGTTAGAGTATGAACCAGCAGCCCTTCTCAGCATGCAGAGTCCCTACCCATGCCAGCAGTCCCATGGAGTAAGTAGAATTAATCTATTACAAGCGGTATACAAATGATTTCAGGATCAAGCCCCCAGAGTGGTGCAAAGGAGCTTAGCTACTTGACCTCCAATTACGTGTAATGTGCACTATGCAGCTAAATCCCAGTTTCACATAGGTATTTTACCTAATGCTTTTAAAATAAATATGGATCCTACCCAGTTGCCACATTGCAATTATTTGTCATGGAGGAGTGAAGTCTTAGAATTAACCACAGACCATGGTCTATAGTTCAAGCAGAAGTTGAGAGAGCTTCTCACACTACTTCATCATATCTTAGTTCTGGCTCAAGAGGGACCTTGGAGACACCTGCACAGTTGCTTAGCCTTACTCCAGGGTGGGCAAATTCTATCTTGCAAGGTGGATCTAATCTGTAGGGTTAATCCCAGGGATTATTTACATTTAGACCTAATGGACCAATTAGTTGCCTCTTAGGTGTTGGGCCTGAGACCTGGTGGCAGCCTGCAGACCATCTGGCCTTCAAAGGCCAGCAAGCTACTGAGACCTGCAGGTAATGGGTAAGTACTCAGAGGGAATATTGCCCCATGGGAAGTAATCTAGTTTGTTTGATATGGAGAAATAAAACTCAATCCTGAAGTGAGAAGAGGTTGAAATCCTGGCTATACATGGAACCCCAGGATAGTGTTTCGGTAGAAACACCTCTCAGAGTCATGCTTTACTTTTGTTCAAGGCTGGTCAAAACACACAACTGTTTCCAAACTTGAGCTTGCTCAGATGCAGAACTGGAATATAACAATGACCAGATTAGTTGCATATGACTGGGCTCTGTCACGCTCCAAAACTGGGATTCCCCTAGGGTTTTGATATTAGTGTACCCTTAGGAGTTCAACAGGGCCACGATGGAGCAATGGTGAAGCTTTGCAAGCTGAATACCTTTTGCTGTGAGATACAGTGTGTGGCAGGGAGTTTGGACTTGCAAGTTCACACCTGTCTCTGCTTCCCATGAAGATGAGCACTGCACTCTGGGGAGGGACAAGCTGAACAAGCCTGTATTCTAAGGTACAGCTTTTCTAATTGGCCGACCTTGAAATCCTTGGAGCTTCCAGACAACCTTTTCTTTCCTTTCTTCCCTCTGAGACATCCACTGCATCTGGTATTTTATTTGAAGGGGAAGGAGAGAAATCAGACCCATTAAAAAGAAAAGCTGAGCTGAATCTTGAAAAGAGTAAGAGTGGATGACAGAAAAAGCCAACTAAGTGCCACCTTGATATTTACAAGGAAATGGCTTATGGCTTCTTAACTATTATTATAGTGCAGGGTCTCTAGCACTGCATGCTCTGAAGTCATAAACAGTCTTGGGACACACACTCACCAGCAAAATATATTCCCTCTCCTCTGCTTTTTCTGTTCTTAACTTTGCATCTCCTACACCTTCTTCTCTATGCACTGGTTTCCACCCAAAAAACCATAGAAGTCTCAGAAGAGGAGAAATGGTCCCATGTACCCAAGTGGAGCTTAGATACAAACTAGTACAGGGGATATGTGAAGCCATTAATACACAATTAAAAGTCTCAGTGATATTGGCTGACATGCTGACAAATCTCTTGCAAGTAAAAAGAACTGGTGGAATACCCTGAGAACCAAAGCTGGCCTGTGTGGTAATGTTAGTACAATCAGAATTGGTTGACTAATGTTCAAACTAAGATCAGGGTCATTGAAGGTTTTTTTTAAACCAGTAATAACTTAAGAACTGTTTTCATTATTTATTTAACCCCAACTGGTGGGGTTTTAAGATAAGCACTCTAACACAGGGGCACTTGTAGGTGAGGTCTAAAATAAGCTTGGAAATGCACCAGCTCTGCATCTTTACACAGGCTCTTTAAACAGTTATCCCAGGCATAGTGGAGGCAGATCTCAGGTCTCCTGCTAAGGATCTGACTTAGAATTTCCATGCATTGCTAGGGACAATATCACTGAAGAAGCAGGAGATTATTTTCTTGTTTGATACAAAGGACAAATCACTGAAATAAAATTAAAAGCTATCACTCAGTTCAAGGAGTTGCCTGTTTTGCAGTACACATGAGTATTGAAAATCCTTTGCATCAAGTTACTACAAGACACCTGCTTGTGCTTGATCACACTACCTCTGGTGGTGATTAAATTCTGGTAGAATTCTTGGTTCTTTACCTTACCTCAACATCAGATGCTCCTCAGCGGGAACAGAGCTTAAAACATCCTACTTTGGGAACTCACTCTATTAAATCCCATATATTGCAAACATACCACATAACTTTTTACCAACACTTTATACAAACTTTTCCCAACTAATTTTGCAGGTAAAAAACCATGCCTTACACAATGGACACTCAGCTACTAGACTACAGTTCCCAAAATGCTATAGGCTTAAGGTGAAAGTTCACACTACCCTCCCAGGCTATAAAGAAATCCTAGATGTACTTCCGTTAGAGAAAGCTCCACAACACAAGGAGGCCCAGGGCAAGTAGTGGCTTTCAATTTTGTTGCCTATTACTGTTGTATAAAGCAAACCTATCATTTGCAAATAAAATATTGCCAGTGCCAAACACCCAAAAATCTAAAACCAGGCCACTCAGAAATCAGGTGATGCCTAAAATTCATGAGATATTTTAAACACTACCAAATGTGTGGCTCTCTTTTAAGAATGCTTTCTGGTTTCTGAGTCTATAACCTACATTTCCTTCATCTTTTCGGCACTGATTTTTTGCCTTGCCCTTCCTACTCCAAATATTTTCTCACCTTCCAGAGACCTTTGATTGAGGGGCAGGGGGAAGGGAACTTCAGGCAATCATCCAAACCAAACAAACAGTGGAAATTGGGGGAAAACAAGTAATTGGGTGGCTGAGTAACCACTAAAAAAAAATCTCAATGTTTACCTGCTGGGGGCTCTGCAATATAAACCTTATATTGCAGAGCTCGCAGCATAGGGTGTCATCCGGCTCCCTGGGAGCTCCCAGCATGCACTGGCTCCCACCTGCAGCCCCCCTCCCAGGGAGCCGGCTGCTGCTCAGCACTGCTGCCTCTATCCAGTGTGAGGATTTTTAATGTATGAATAGTCAGTCTCTTAGGAGTGGTTCAGTCTTGGCCTAACTTTGCCCTCACTAGAGTCAATGGTTAAAACTCCCATCGGTTTCAATGAAAGCAGAATAGCCCAATGCTGAGTGAACTTAAAATCCCACCTTTAGATTATTAAAATTGAGGGTTATATCAACTCATGCTATTCAGAGATAATATCTCTAAAGGTTTGCAATAATGATTTACATTTGACCTCTTTCACGGTCATAGTAAATTAGGCATTTTAATATTCTTCATACAGGTAACTTGTGTAGTAATTAAATCATGAAAAGAGCCTATTCTTTCAAAAATGTGCACCCTTCAGGTCCTGTGCTGCATTATAGTATTAGAGCGCTGGCTGGCTGCCTGTAATGTGATTGCCTACCTGAAACTAATTGTCTTTTGGTTGCTGTGTCCAGAACCAGAAGAAAGAAAAATAGAGACTAGGGCTTCGTCTAGACCGGCATGATTTTGTGATTTTGCGGAAATACTTTTAACGGAGAAGTTTTTCCGTTAAAAGTATTTCCGCAAAAGAGCATCTAGATTGGTACGGATGCTTTTGTGCGAAATGTGCTTTTGCGCAAAAGAGTCCATGCCCAAAATAGATGCGCTTTTGAGCCAGAAAGCTCCAATGGCCATTTTAGCCATCGGGCTCTCTTGCGCAAAAAATTAAGGTGCCTGTCTATACTGGCCCTCTTGCACAAGTATTCTTGTGCGAGAGGGCTTATCCCTGAGCTGGAGCATCAAAGTATTTGCGCAAGAAGTACTGAATTCTTACATTAGAACATCAGTGGCTCTTGCGCAAATTCAAGTGGCCAGTGTAGACAGTTGGCAAGTTTTTGCGCAAAAGCGGCCAATTTTGCGCAAAATCTTGCCTGTCTAGACACACCCTAGATGTATAAGTCAAAAGGTAGAATTGCTGTATTTTAAAGGCTAATAAAACTGCCAGAGATTGATGCTATTTATTTTGGCTAAGTGAGGTATTTAAGGCTATATTTACATCATCACAGTTAAAGTTCTATTGGCATTTCCATTCCAAGGATTTCTAACTGCAGAAATTGTATTCTGAAATGCAACCCTGTACATTACGTTTACTCTCCATCTGGGAAGACTAGTTCTGTAATGAGAGTTCAGAATGCTTTCCCCTTTAAAAATATTTTACGTGCCTAAATCTTCCAACTAGTTTTGCATGGGAAAAATCAGCTTGGCTGCACATTTAGAACACAACTACTGTCTTTATAAGGAAGACCGCTGTTGTGGTCACAGTCACTAGGCTGGGATTCAGGAGGTCTGGGTTTCATTCTCAGTCCTGTCACAGTTCCTGTGAAGAGCTGGTTATGATTTTTGTGTGTCTGAAAATGACAGTTCATCAAAACCAAAACTTTGTGGGAAATGAGGTTACTTACCTCCTGTAACTGACGTACTCCGAGATGAGCATCCCTGGGGGTGCTCCACATCAGGTATAGAGCGTCCCAGCGCCTCTGGACAGAGTTCTGCTAGCAGTGTCTCAGCTGGGGCAGTGCATGCGCAGCGTGCAAATTTCCTGCCTAGCTATGTGCATGCGTGGCCCCCGCCTCTCTTCAGTTCCTTCTCTCTCCGGAACCCAGCGGAGGAGCGCGACTCACATGATTACTTTTAATTTTATTTCATTTCAAGGTTTCCAAAGTAGAGGGGAGGAATGGAGGGTAGTGGAGCACCCCCAGGGACGCTCATCTCCGAGAACACCAATTACAGGAGGTAAGTAACCTCCTCTTCTCCGTCGAGAGGCGTCTCTGGGGA